GCGCGGAGCCTCTAGTTAAGTAATAATACTCCATTCTCCTTCCAATTCCCAGTAATCTCTAATCCACTTCTGTTTCTATGAAAATGCCTATTGTATATATTTCATATAAGTGGAATCATACAGAGAAGCATTGAACAGACTGTCAAACGACAGCAGGAAGGCTGGGGAGGGTTGTGGGGTGGAGGGGAAGTAAGAGATCAACTGAAGGACTTGTATGCATGCATATAAGCATAACCAATGGACGCAAGACACTGGGAGGGGGGTGAGGGCATGTGCCAGGGGGTAGGGGAGGCTGGGGAAAGATCAATTGGGAAAAAAAAAGGAAACATATATACTACTATTTGTAATACTTTAACCAATAAAAAAAATAAAAATAAAAAAAAGAGGAGATAAACAAGTAGAACAAATTGATGTTCTCTCTTTCTCCTCTCTTGCTCTAAGATAAATTTTTTAAAAGTTCTTAAACAATAAAAAAGATGAAGAAAGAAAAATCTCTCTCCATGAACCATTCACCAAGGAAAGGCCTTATAAGAACACAATGAAAAAGCAAGGAGGGAAGGGAGCTCTCACCAGAACCAGACCGTGTTGGCACACTGATTTTGAACTTGTAGCTTCTAATATTGTGAGAAAATTCTGTTGTTTTAATTCTATGCTATTTTATTATTGCAACCCAAGCAGACTAAAATTTAAGTGTATATTATATTTTTAACTGGAAAAATAAATATATTTTTAGCAATAGCAACCAGAAGAGTTGCAAACAAATACACTGGGCTTTATCTATATTCAGAGTCTTATAGGTCTTTAAAGTTCTCTTCTTTTTTAAATATATTTTTATTGATTTCAGAGAGGAAGGGAGAGGGAGATAGAAATATCAACGATGTGAGAGAATCATTGATCTGCTGCCTCCTGCATGCCCCCTACTGGAAATCGAGCCTGCAACCCAGGAATCGAACCATGACCTCTTGGTTCATAGGTAGATGCTCAGCCACTGAGCCACACCGGCCAGGCACTAAAGTTCTTTATAATGCTTTATAAAGTGAAATACTATTGTATATGATGCCTGGTAACACTGCTATTCACTACTCACAACCTCCCCAACCCTAGATTTGATGATTAGAGCAAAATGAATATAAAATGATGGGTAATTTTTTATAATGATTGCACTAATTATAATAAAAATATATGCTTTAAACCTAACAAATAAGATAGTTACAATCAGTTGTCCTACATTCATCATTTAAAATTAGTGTTATATAGCCGAAACCAGTTTGGCTCAGTGGATAGAGCGTCGGCCTGCGGACTGAAAGGTCCCAGGTTCGATTCCGGTCAAGGGCATGTACCTGGGTTGCGGGCACATCCCCGGTGGGAGATGTGCAGGAGGCAGCTGATGGATGTTTCTCTCTCATCGATGTTTCTAACTCTCTATCTCTCTCCCTTCCTCTCTGTAAAAAATCAATAAAATATATTTTTTAAAAAATAAAAATAAAATAAAATTAGTGCTATATAATTGGAATAACCATATGCATGATTTCCCTGGGAGAATCCTAGTTTATGTCCACTGCTCTCGAATAATTGTCAACAACACCCAGTTTCACTCTCAAAAAGTCCTGGCAAACTATGGTTATTCTAAGTATATAGTCAATTACATAGTAATCATCTATTTAATATTTTATAAATTTAGTGTTCAGTCTGGGACAGGAAATACCAACTGTCACTAAAATCTGGAAAATATAGTTGTCACAGTATATAATAATAAATTATTTAAATAATTTTCTTCCACTGGGAATCAAAGTAAATTTTGTGAGTGAACTGAGAATAAAAAGAATCAGATGCTAAAACATTTTTAGATGATTTTTAAACCATTCAATCCAAATTTTTAACTTTGAATAATTTTAAAGTAGTTAAAATTATTCAAAGGAAAATGTAAATACACCTAGAATTCCAGAATATAGAAATAATTAACTGTGAGCTTACTGACTTGACTATTCTGAAAGATGTATGTTCCAGACAATTTCTAAATGGAATAACAGTTCCAAAGTCTTTCCTTTAACATTATAAAATAAATTAAAAATAAACAAATGGCTTAGATTTTAGGATTGAGGCAACTAAAATCAGATTGGTCATCTAAAATGTGTACCCTACCCATAAAACAATATAATGATATGTTGACTCAGCATGCTGGGTTTATAATAATAAAAAAAGGTTCATTTTAAGAATTATCAAAGCTATACTTAAAGAGGAGAGCACAAAAGGAATATTAAAAAAATTTTTATTTCCCTAGGATTTTCTAGACAATTAGAAAAGAAAAGAACAAAAAAAATACAGCCTGACTGGCTACATGAGATCAGCTTTCCACATTTGCAAAATATAATACCTATATCATTCCTACTAATTGTTACTAAAAATGAAAACAAGGCACACTGCTTCAGAAAAACTTTCAGAGAATCATATTCATTTAAGAATATTTATATTTCATTTGATATATTCCTGATTCATTTATGCCACAGTGTGTGTTTATATGTTAAAGAAATATGTCTGATACATATATACACCCACATACACACATACTTTGAGACTAGTCTTTGGATTCCTGTTCTTCCCCTGATTCTCGTGACCGTTTCCGGGAATTCAATGAACCTTCTGTTTGCAATGAGCATGCAGTATCAACAACAGCATCTCTAAATCCCTGAGTCTGTAAGATGAAAAAAATATAAGTATGCTTTAAGAACATCTAAAATAATGATTGGTCTTTTAAATATTTTAAGTAATTGATAAGAGTGCTACTTTATTCTTGGGATAGAAGTTATCAACCACTGTGAATGAAGAGGATAAACCTCACGGATAGATGTCCAAGCCAGGGTTGTACTAGAGCAGTGATTCCCAAAGTGGGCGCTACCGCCCCCTGGTGGGTGCTGCAGCGATCCAGAGGGGCGGTGATGGCCACAGGTGCATTTGTTTTAACTTTTTTTGTATTACCTTTCTATTCTGAGTTCAATAAATAGTTTCATAATTTCAAACTTCAATGTTTCTAATTTACACCTTTCTTTACTATATTTTACGAAAAAGGTAGAAACATTAATACATATATCTTTCTGTTTAATTGCTATTAAAATTTTTTAAAAATTAGTTTCCAGGGGGCGCTGAGTAAAATTTTTTCTGGAAAGGGGGCGGTAGGCCAAATAAGTTTGGGAACCACTGTACTAGAGTATTTTATATCTAAAGTATTTTATATTAATTTCTTTATACATACACATACACACAGAAATAACATTGCATTATAGAAATGTTCTCTAAAAGACAACCCTAAGAAACTTTGTGGTGACACTACTGAAGAGGTGAAAGAAAGTAGCATGTAAAAATTACTTAGGTATTTTACAAACTTATTTTCACAATACTCTAAAATAGAGTTTTCCAATTAGAGTACTTTAAATGCACCCAGGCAATGCAAAGGCTAAGTGGATAACTCAGTTTCAGAATCTCTATTTCTGTTTTTGTCCTTAAAATATGAGATGCCAAGAATATTTTTGGCTCAAAACTATTGATAAATATGCATAGTTCAATAAAAACTGTGTTCTACGATGTACAATTACAGGAAAATTAGCATTTTAAAGTAGGATATATTTGGTGACTATGACAGATCTATAATATCTATAAACCCAAATTAGAAAGGTTGGTACTTTTTCTTTTATGAAAATTTTTAACAACTTTCACTTTAAAAATATTTAATATCCTGCCCACAGGTGTGGCTCAGTGCTTGAGCACTGACCTATGAACCAGGAGGAGGTCATGGTTCGATTCCCAGTCAGGCCACATGCCCAAGTTGCAGGCTCAGTCCCCAGTGGGGGGACATGCAGGAGGCAGTGGATTGGTGATTCTCTTTCATCATTGATGTTTCTATCTCTTTCTCCCTCTCCCTTCCTCTCTGAAATCAATAAAAACATATTTTAAAATATAATAATACTGACTGTGATTTGAAACGGTACTGTAGATTCCTTCTGGCTTGGTGATTTGTACAATGTTGCCAACCTGCTTAGAGGAAAAAAAAATACACAAACACATAATCTTAATTAGTTTAGGTGACTGATTTGATCATTTAAATTTATAATTTTTTAAAATATAATTTTATTATTTTGTTCTCTAAGGATACAGAAAGGACAGAAATATCAGAAGTACTCCCTTCAAACAATAACTATATGTATGCATGTACTAGTAATAATTATTACAGATATTAACAATTACTTATATTGTTTATATAAATAAAATTTTAAAGCAATCTAAAAGTCCAATGACTGATTCAAATAAACCAGCAACTTTCACCCTAGTAGGATAGCTCAAGTGGTTAGAGTATCATCCCAATATGCTAAGGTTGTGGGTTCTATCCCCCCCTCAGGGCACATACAAGCAGCAACCAATATGAATGCATAAATAAGTGGAACAACAAATCAATGTTTCTCTGTCTCCCTCCCTCTCTCTGATAAAAAGGTAATAAATCAATAAATAAAAATGAAAAAAAAAACAACAGCAACCAGCAATTTTCAAACAGTGTGCTGCAAAAAAATTTTAAATATGTAATACTTGACTAGCTTTGTTGCGCTGACCTCTTTCCCTTATTGTCAAATAAGAAATCACAACAGCTAACACAATAGCCTTCCAGTGTGAATAAATCAAAATTATACCTATTTTTTTAGTCAGACTGGCAAAAAATGTATTTTTGGTGTGCCGCAGAATTTTAGTACTTAGTTTGTGTGTGCCATAACCTGAAAAAGGCTGAAAATCACTGAAATAAACTACTTTATACATGACAAGATACTATTTATGCTTAAGAAAACATAGTAGAAGAAACATTTAATGAAATGGAAAATTTTAATATTACATTAAGTAAAAGTTATGCTGTATGATCCTGCATTTGTATGTATACACACATATATAAAAAACTAGAAGACTACAATTAAAAGTTATTAAATAAAGGTTTATATTTTTCAAACTTTCTGCAATAATTTTGTTTTTTTATGTGTATTACAGAAGTATTAAGACAATTTCTTGGGATATACATAAGAAACATACACTCATATTATACTAATACTAGAGGCCCAGTGCACGAATCCGGTGGGGTCCCTTGGCCTGGCCTGCAGGGATCAGGCTGAAACTGGCTCTCCGACATTCCCATAAGGGGTCCCAGATTGCGAGAGGGCAGTTCTCAGGTGATGCACCCTGGAATCAGGCTCCCTCCTCTCTGGTTTCGAGTGCGTCACCTGAGAACCGCAGCTGCCAAGTCATCGCAGCTCGGCAGCTCCTGTGTTGAGCGTCTGACCCCTGGAGGTCAGTGTGTGTCAGAGCTACCGGTCAGAGCGTCTGCCCCTGGTGGTCATTGTGTGTCATAGCTACCGGCCAGAGAGTCGAATGGTCGCTTAAGCTTTTATATATATAGATAAATAAGCTAGGAAGACACATTCTTTCAAAAGGATTATATCCAGAAAAATCACTGTCATGAAAGAACAAGATCTATTTAGGCAGGATTTTATTATGTACTGTACAAAATAAGTAACATAAAATTGAAAGCTGAAAATAGTTGAAAAATAAAATTCTAAGCTCTTTGGGATGTTTAAATACTATAACAGCAACAAATATAAGCAAAAACTTTTAAAATTAATTTAAAACTGATATAACTTATTCATAATAGCCAAAAGGTAGAAGTAATCCAAATGTTTCACAGATGAATGGATTAAAAAAAGGTCGTATATACATATAATGGAATATTAATCAGTCTTAGGAACATATTGATACATACTAGAGTTAACTTTAAAGACATTGTGCTAAATCAGTGGTTCCCAAACTTATTTGGCCTACCGCCCCCTTTCCAGAAAAAATATTACTCAGCCCCTGGAAATTAATTTTTTTTAAATTTTAATAGCAGTTACTCATCGCCCCCAAATGCACCTGTGGCCATCACTGCCCCCCTGGATCGCTGCAGCGCCCACCGGGGGGCGGTAGCGCCCACTTTGGGAATCACTGTGCTAAATGAAATAAAGCCAGTCACAATAGGATAAATTTTGTATGATTCCACTTATTTGAGGTGCCTGGAGTAGGCAAATTCATAGAGACAGAAGTAGAATAGTGGTTGCCAGAGCCTGGTGGGAAGGGAGAATGGAGAATTAGTGTTTAATAAGTACAAAGTTTCAGTATAGGAAGATGAAAAAGTTCTGGAGATGGATGCTGGTGATGATTATACAATAATGTGAATATACTTCACGCCACTGAACTGTACACTTAACTGGTTAAAATGTTAAGTTATGTATACTTTACACACATTTTAAAAACTGATATAACTGCACTAACTTAGAGAAAAATCATAGACTCTCAGAGTTAAAAGGATCATTTATTTACATATAACAATGTTTACTTGTTTTCAAAAAATCTGTTACTCTCTTAATTTTGAAATTGCCCCTCTAATAAGGCACAATTCAAAAGAGAGGCAATCAGAGACCATGGTCCATTAGATTAATGTTTTAAGTTTGTACTTTCAGGATGAAAACAGCAGAATCCAAAATGCCATTTACTCTATAATTGAAACTGTATGCATAAATAAAATAACTGCTAAGTAATATGTAATATAAGAATAGCTCTGAGAAGGAAGTGAAATTATAAATTTGTACAATGCTTTTAGAGTTGCTATTCCATATTAATGCAAAATATAATAGAAAAATAGAAGTATGGTATATTTCAACCCACCTTATTAAAAAAAATTCTCTTTTTGGCCCTAACTGGTTTGGCTCAGTGGATAGAGCATCGGCCTGTGGACTCAAGGGTCCCAGGTTCAATTCCGGTTAAGGGCATGTACCTTGGTTGCGGGCACATCCCCAGTGGGGAGTGTGCAGGAGGCAGCTGATTGATGTTTCTCTTTCATCGATGTTTCTAACTCTCTATCCCTCTCCCTTCCTCTCTGTAAAAAATCAATAAAATATATATTTTTTTAAAAATGAGAAATTTGCCCTAACTGGTTTGGCTCAGTGGATAGAGCAT